GGTTCTATGACGAAACAAAAAGCAGCAGATATAAGAGTTGTTAGTGAATTAGTGTTAGTTTTTAGAGAATTTCTGGTACCAAAAAGAAACAATATGCAATTATTTGAGTCCAAGAAATGCTGTTGGGTCACAGAGCTTGGGGAGGCTGCTCAGATAGAGGTTCCTTAGGCAGGATGTTTACTCATTTACAGAGCAGCTTCTCTTGCTGCACCAGCAGGTGTCATCCACAGGCAAGAGATCAGCTGTGAGGAGAGACTGCAGTGGGAACAGAGCCTGGAATGGAGGAATAACATATATGGAACAGATCTATGTGTATATGTCTATAGTTATCTCATTTCTAGATATAGATCGAGATGCACATATAAATGTAGATCTGTGCCTAGATAGATATTTAAGCAGTCTGAGCTGGTGGAAGTTCTCCCTGTTGATGGCAGTGGAGTAAGACTGGATGATCTTCAAGGTCCTTCCACTCCAAACCTTTCCACAACCCCACGACTATCAATTCTTGGTCCTTCCTTGGCTCTGGAGGTCAAGAACTAGATATGTTTCTCCCAAGGAACAAAACTCTTGACCTCCTTAGCGATTTGCTGACAGAGCATGAAATCGAACCCAACTGCTGAGCAGAACTTTTTTGCAGCTCCTTGGCAGAGAAATGCACTTGTTTTTCTCCTGACTTTGTGTCTCTGCTCTGGCTCCTGAAGCCCCTGAATGCCACCCAAGCCTACGGGCCCAACCTGCGGTACATCGTGCGCTGGCGGCGCCGCGAGCCGCGCGGCAGTTGGTACAACGAGACGGTCAAGGCCCCGCGCCACGTCGTCTGGAACACTCCCATCTATGTGCCCTACGAGATCAAGGTGCAGGCAGAGAACGACTTTGGCAGAGCCCCAGAGCCTGACACCTACATTGGCTACTCCGGGGAGGATTGTGAGTACTGCTCAGGCAGAGATGCGCAGGGTCTCCAGGCAGGAGCCACCCCACAGGGTGCTGGGTTGGCAGCTGTGCCCAGGATGTGGTTGGAGCACTGCTTGGTTTGGCACAAAAATCCAGCTCCAGGGTGGACAGGGTTTGGGGCAGCCTGGGCTAGTGGAAGGTGGGTCCTTGCACATGGTGTGGAGTTGGAATGGGATGATCTTTAAGGTCATTTCAACCCAAACCACAGAATATACAGAGTTGGAAGGGACTCTTGAGGATCATCTAGTCCAACTCCTGGCCCTGCACAGGACATCCCCAGACTCACACCATGTGCCTGAGAGCATTGGCCAAAGGCCTTTTGAGCTCTGTCAGGCTTGGGGCTGTGACAGCTTCCCTGGGGAATGATCCTTCCACAGGTCTAGGATTCTCTGATTGGAAGAGGCTTGGCCTGTAGATTCTATTCTGGGCTCTGCCTCATGCCCCAGGTCACTGAGCCTTTCTCTCTAACACCCAGACAACACTTTGAGCATGGAAGCCACTCAGATTTCCCCTCAGATGATCTCTGGGCTGAATTCCTTAAGTGGCATTCAATTTTCTGCCCCTGACCTCTGCAGAGCACTGAGTTCATCTCAGATGAAAGGTTCTACCAGTGGCCACAAGGTCCTTAGTTCCTCCTGGCCTGGATTCTTGTGCCTCTCTGATAAAGCCTCAGCTAAGCCCCAGCTTGGGCTGCAGTTTGCAACACATTGGCTCAGCTTATCTTTCTTTAAACCTCTCCCTTGGTCACACAGAACATGAGCAGCTTGTTTAATTCTCTTTTCACCTTCCTCTGGGCTCCTGGTCTCACCTGTGCATGTAGCACCCAAGACTCTCAGCTATGATTATCCTGCTGGGATAATGTGGTTTGCTGCCAACTGCTTTAGTTTCAAAGCAACACACATTAGTTCATGGCATCACTGAGGTCCCTGGAGGGACTTGAGGATTACCAAGAAGGAAGGTGGATAAACCAGGTGAGCATCCAGGACTCCAGGCTTGAAATCAAGGAGCACAAACAGGGCACAGCAGTTTGAAGGAAAACTGCACATTTGGGGCTGTGATGGCACAGACAACACATCTTCCAGCTGGGAATCTTCTCCTGGAGGGAGCAGAGCAATGGGAAGGAGAATGGGTAGGAAAGGTGTGAGAAAGGTGGACACAGCTGACTGGGTAAGCTTCACCACCTCCTGACTGCTTTGTTGTCTCTGCATTACCTCCCTGAGTATTACCAAGGGGATTTTTTTCTAGTTTCTCTTGAAAATCTGTGCAATGTTTCTGAGCTTGGGGAGGATCTGAATAAGCTCCACGTGTGTGGAGGCAAAGCAGGAGACCAAACTCCTGTGTCACAGCCCAGACACAAATGAGTTCTGCCTATTCCTGAGGGCTGGGACAGGTTACACAAAACAAACACCCCAAAATCATCTCTGCCCTCTCATGTCTGAGCTCCTTCGCAAATAACTGCAGGTGTAAAGAGGAGGTAAAACCCCAAGTGGATCAGCAGCAGGTTCTGGCCCAAATCAGATTAATGGATGTGGAAATAAGGTAGCTGTGTAACTTTGGGGTCTATCAGGTGCTGCAGGAGGGGCTGGATGTGCTGGAATCCTTCTCTTGGAGAGGGAGGTGAGCCAGACCCTTCCCTGCAGGAAATCCTTCTGGTAACTGGCTCATGAATGTTCTCATGGTTGTTGGATGAGTGAAACATGGTTTATTTCCCTCCCCCTTCCCATGGGAAACAGCAGAGCCTGTGTGGGGCTGCTGCTCACCCTGTCTGCCATGGGAAAACCATGGCAAGGGCAGAGAGGAGTCTGTCTGTCCTCCTGTCTGCCCTGCAGGACCCTAATGCCCACTGTGCTTTGTCCCTGCCCCCCCAGATCCCAAGGCTGCTCCCACAGATGTTAGGATAAGGATTTTAAACAGCACTGCCATTGCTCTGACCTGGACACGAGTGCACCTGGACACCATCCAGGGACAGCTCAAGGAGTACAGAGTGAGCAACCCAAGACTCTTCAGCACTCACTGTTAATACATCTAACCCTCTAAAACGCCAAGGTGGCTCCAGTGCTGGAGCTGCTGGAGATGGGGATGACAGAAAACTCTCCTCCAGCCACTAGGACCCTTTTTTGGCTGTGGTTGGGGGCTGAGCACAGGGGCTGAGCTCTGCTCTGGAGCAGCACCAGCAATGAAAGGCCTTGGTTTGCTCTTTGGGGTGCCTGGATGGGGCTGGAGACACATCCTGCTGCTGCCCCAGGGCTCAGTGTCCCAGCACTTGGCTGCAGGATCTGCAAGCCAACAGTGCACCCACAGTGCTCTGGGGTGGTGCTACCCATGGCACCAGGTGTCTCCTGGCTCTAGAGCTGCTCCTGAGCTGGCTGGTTTGGGGGGAATGACCTCAAACTGGTCAGTTTTGTGTCGTCCCCAAAGGATTTGTGTCGTGTGTCAATGACCACCAACCCCTGCAAAGCCTTAACCCAAGTGGTTCCTACTAACTGGTGACTAAAGTCTGAGTGGATCCTGATGTGGTTTGGGTTTTCCTGATAGTATTTAATACCTCCTGCTGAGGTAAAGTGCTAGTGTTTATGTACAGAGCACAAACCCTGTTCCAGCAGCATTTAAGGCTCTGCCAAACCCACGTGTCCTGCAAACAGCTCCAGCCCTTCAAATCCAATAATCCTCTGAGCACTGCTCTCCTCTTTCTGCCTCTGCTTTTATCTGCTCCCTTTTCTGAATGAACCTTATTTCTGCATGAAATAAGATTTCCAGTCAGAGCTTTGAATGGGAGATTTGCCAAATTCAACCTCTCCTTTGTGCCTGGATGTGTCCCACGTGTCCTTGTACACCACTACAAAGCCACTCCAGGTTGGACAAGGAGAATCACTTGATGTCCCAACACTTGGGACCCTGAAACAGTTTAGTGGTTGTGCTCTGTGCCCTTTGGTAAGCACTTAACCCCCTGCTCAGCCTCTTCCTCGGGTAACAGCCCAACCTTCCTCACAGTGAGGATGTGAAGCTTCACTAATTGCTCTAAAAAGGTTCCTACAGCTCTTTGGGAAAGCAAAACTCTGCTCTGCTGTGTGAATGTGAACAGAAAACTGCCCTGAGAGATGGGCAAAGCTTCACTTGCCATGCATGTTTCTTGAAGGCTTATTTCTGGAGGGAAAGTAGTTTGCTGAAGAACCTGTGGGTCTCCAGAAAACGGCAGTTTGTGAGTTTTCCTGGAGACAGAAACAGGGGCATAGTGTCCAGGCTGATCCCTTACAGCAACTACAAGCTGGAGATGGTGGTAACCAACGGCAGAGGAGATGGGCCACGCAGTGAGCTTAAGGAGTTCCCCACACCTGAAGGAGGTATGTGCCCAAGGGAGGGTTGTGGAGGTACCCAACTCTCAGGGACTGATGGGAGAGCTTTGGGTGCTTCTCCTGTGGAGCAGGAGCTGAGTCACCATGGTGTTGGGAGTGGAACTAGGAATGGAACTAGGGAACAATCGGCTGAGGTTGTGGGGAAGGGGCTGGAGAACCTGGAGAAGAGGCTTAGGGAGGACCTTCCACTCTCTCCAACTCCCTGGCTGGAGGTGCAGCCAAGTGGGGTCAGACTGATCCCAGGAAAGGAAACAGCCTCAAGCTGTGCTAGGGCAGGTTCAGGTTGAACATCAGGAGGAATTTCTCCATGGAAAGGTCTGTCAGGCCTTGGAACTGCCCAGGGAGGGGGTGGAGGCACCATCCCTGGAGGTGTTCAAGGACCAACTGGACGTGGCACTCAGTGTTCTGCTCTAGCTGACAAGGTGGTAATGGATCACATTTTGGACTTGATGACCTTGGAGGGCTTTTCCAGCCTAAATGATTCTGTCATCATCTGGGCAGCATCACTGTCACATGGCACTGCCAATGCCATTGTCACCACAGGGTAGGTGACACCTCTGCATCTACACCTAGAGCTGAGTCACTCTCAGCAGCCAAAAAAATCCCCATCAGCAAGTAGATTTTAGGCTGAAATGCTTGCAAAGCCTCCCAAGAGGCACAGCACTGTGCCCTTGATGTGCTGCCTGACCTGCAGATGTCCCTGTGCCTCCCTGTGCTGCAGGTCAGGGATGTGGCAGTGAATAGATCCATCCTGCTCAGGAAAATCTTCCCCAGACCTGAGCACTTCTGTTCTGCAAGGACATCACTAATGCTTCTGTCAGGCTTTTCAGGCAAGAGCACCTCGTTCTTGTGTCTGAGGAGCTTCTGTCAAGGATGAACTGGAGATTTTCATTTTCTCCCTGTCACAGGAGCTATTTATAGGCACTCTGAGAACTTTGGGTTGGAGCTGCACTTCCAGGGGCTCACAGGGACTCCTCCTATAGCACAGAGGGTTTGGGGCACTAACTCTTCCTAGGGCACAGAAGGTTTGGGGCAGTGACTCTTCCTATAGGATAGAAGTTTTGGGGCAGTGACTCTTCCTGTAGCACAGAGGAGTTTTTGTCCCTGACTCTTCCCATAGCATAGAGAGTTTTTGGCACAGAATCTTCCAAAAACCCAAGGGGAGAAACCTGTCTGGAAGCAAATCTTGCTTCAAAATACTGTGGGATTTTCCTCTTCATCCTATTTGTGCTGCACATCTCTCAGCCCTCAGTCTCTCCCTCAGCATCCTCTTGGATTTTCTATTGATCAGCCAGAATTCAGCTCATTTCACGAGGAAGGACTCAGTTCCTGTAGTGTTTGTGCACTGTGAGAGCTCTTTACCTGTGTGCTGGAGGATTTGGGGTGACTATAGACACTTGGGGTGTCTCTAAGGGTATGTGAACAGCATTAACTGAAACGATTACAGCAGATTATCCTGTTGTCACAAGGAAAATGTTGATTGTTGGTTTTTTTCCTATACCACTAAGCTCTTTTATTGACTATATATTGACATTTAGGGGACTGACTGATGCTCTGCACAGCTGCTGCTAAAAATAAACACATCCCTAATGTCTCAGATCAGCAAGCCAAGCTCTTTCTCCAATTAAGACACTGCAATGATGAGTAAACCAGGAGAATAATTGAATCCAAGCCTGTATAATTCTTTCCTTCCTTTACCAGCCTGCAATAAGCAGTCAGAGTCAGGGTGAGGAGCACTGGGTACTGCAGCAGGGCAGAGCTCTAGACATGAATCACAGGGATGCTTTGGCTAAGAGAAGCTGCTGTACAAGAGTTGATGTTTCTAAGAGAGAAATCGATGAGCTGGAGAGGTTGGGCTGGGTAGGGGCTGTAAATAAGGCCAGAGGTGGCACTTGCACTGTGTCCCAGCTCTGCTTCAGCTGCAGCATCGTGTGGGGCTTGGCTGGAGGGCAGTGGAGCCAGCCCAGCACGGGGTTTGCATGCAGAGCTGCTCTGCTCCCTGCACACACACACACACACTGCTGAAACCTTGGGCTGGTGCATGATTCCTGCCCCAGATTCGTGTCCACTCCATCCCTGTCCTTTCTCGTGTTGGTGTTGTGAGTGTCTCTCAGCCTCTGCTGTGCACAGTAGTGTAAGGGTATGTTATCTTGTGTGTTTTCTCTTCTCTCCCTCTCCTCCTTGCTCCCATCCTCCTCCCAAGTGCCCAGCTCCCCCAGGTACTTGAGAATCCGACAGCCCAACCTGGAAATCATCAATCTGGAGTGGGATCACCCAGAGCATCCCAATGGAATCCTCACGGGATACAACCTTAGATATCACGCCTGTACGTTCCACACCTTGTCTTCTTAGTCATTAAATGCTAGCCTGGATGCTAATTACCTCCTTAGCCAGCACAGGGAGCCCTCTGTAAGGAACTGGAGACTTCCAGGATGAGCCAAAGGTGTTGAGGGGCTCCTGGAGGGAGCAGGGAGGGTGGTGGGTGCTCAGGTACCCAATGCTCAGTGCCTTTGGGTGGTTCAGCTCTGTGGAGCAGGAGCTGAGCCACAAAACTGCTGGGAGAGGAACTGGGAAGCAATTGGAGCTGAGTCTGAGTTCTCCAGAGTCAACTATTGAACTTGGTCTAAGTTTTTCTAAACCAGAGATCAATGTTGACCTTTAGCCAACTTTGATCTCTGGTTTAGAAAAGACCTTTAAGTGCAGACTGAGGAGTTTGTGTGCTCACTCAAACACAAGCTCCTGCCCAGAGCCCAGCACGATGCCTGGGGCAGTACATCCTTCTCTGACCACCTGCAGGACCCTGAATATCCCTACCAGCAGCCACTGAGTCACCAACTGCCCCAAATGAAGTGTCCTAAGCTGCATCAATAGCTCTGAGCACACTTGGCCCCCCCAGGTCAGAGCCAGGGGGAGGTGATGAGGAGGAGAGCACAGAGAAGTCCTGAATCCAGGCTGAAGCCATCACCCCCTGCCTTTCCTCCCCAGTTAATGGATCCAAAACAGGCCGAGCCATGGTGGAGAGCTTCTCCCCCAACCAGACCAGGTTCACCCTGCAGAGGACAGATCCCATCTCACGCTATCACTTCGTCCTGCGCGCACGGACACAGGTGGGAGAAGGAGAAGCCATAGTGGAGGACTCTCCAGCCTTGCTGAACGAAGGTATGTGCAGCAGCAACAGCTTCTGGCTGTGCCCAAGGGTTTGGGGAGGGGCTGAGGGTCCATGTGTGAGCCCCCAAAACTGCAGGGCAGAGGATCAGGTGGAGCATTGAGTGCTGTACAGTTGCTTTCTACTGCTGAGACACACACTGGGCAGGACCAAAGGCTGCAGCAGAAATGGCACAGAGGTGGCTGAGGGACTGTCCTGTCCTCCAAGGAACCACCACCTTGCTGCCCCTCAAGCAGTGAGCATTGCTCATGCTGGGCAGGACCAAAGGCTGCAGCAGAAATGGCACAGAGGTGGCTGAGGGACTGTCCTGTGCTCCAGGGAACACTTTGCTGGTCCCTGAGCAATAAGCATTCCTCCTGTGCTCTGCAGCACATCCTCACATGCCCCTGGAGCAGGAGGCACTGTGGTTTTATACTGGCAGAGCAGGGTTAGGATAGGTATTAGGAGGTAATTCTTCTCCTTGAGGGGTGAGACAAAGAGCACTAAAATTGCCCTTCCAGTGCCTAAAGGGGCTCCAAGAGAGCTGCAGAGGCACTTTGGGCAAGGGATGGAGGGACAGGGCACAGGGAATGGCTTCCCACTGATGGAGAGGTGATTTAGATGGGATATTGGGAAGGAATTGTTCCCTGGGAGGTGCTGAGGCTCTGGCACAGGTTACTCAGAGAAGCTGTGGCTGCTCCAGCCCTGGAAAATGTTCCAGGGCAGGTTGGATAGGGCTTGGAGCAACCTGGGCTGGTGGGAGGTGTTCCTGCCCATGGCAGGAGTGGACCAAGATGATATCAAGGTCCTGTCCCAACCCAAACCACTCTGTGCTCTTGCTCTGCTCTTGCTGGAGGTGATTTTCCCCTCTGCTGCATTGCAATGAGCTAGACCTGGGGCAGGTGTGGGTGATTTTAGGGGCAGGGGCAGTGGTGCCACCTCCCTCCCACCCCAGCAGCAGCTGAGCTGAGCCTCCAAACAAAGCCCCAACTCTCAGCTCCATAATCAGATAACATCCCCATTGTGGAACATTCATCAAACTAAGTGGAAGTTCAGGAGCCCTGAGGGAACGTGTGGAGACCAAAGTAGCTCTTTGCCTTCCTTAGCCTCCACTAAGAGACCTGTGATTTGGTTAGTGCTGGGATTTAATGGGAGGTTTGTCTCCTTTCCTTCAGCTCCCCCTCCCCAGCTAATGGCTCTGAGTAGGCAAAGTAATCCCTACCCTGACCCAGTGGAAATGAAATGCTTCCCAACACCTCTTAGGTGGCTCCAGCAGCACTAATTGCCACGACAGGATGGGAGATAAGGCTGCAGATGCCAAGGGGAACAAACCAGCCAAGCTACCCCTGGCAAACATGAGAGGGACCTGTCATTGCTTTAAAGAGGAGCTGTTAGGGCTTGGGTTGAATTTAGTAGTCAATATTTCTAGTTGCTTCATATATATTTGCTTTCCTGGGGTTGTGTCTATGCACTGATCCCAGCAGCAGTGAAATAACAGCCAGAACCAACTCCTGTTGGATAAAACCTCATGGATTTGTGTCAGTAAAGAGCAGGTAGAGCCTACACCTGTGTGACCAGGTAAGGTGCCCTGTCTGCAGGGTTTGGGGGGCAGATGTGGCACTTCCCTGCTGGAAAGGATAAAGCATTGGCCACTAAGCAGCAAGAAAAAAATCAAGTAGTTTACAGTCAACTTACAGAAATGCAGCAAAGTTTGCCCTCAAAACTCCAAGACCTTGAGGTACACCGTGACATAGGTGAGTTCTGCTCATGCCAAGTAAGTACCACAAGCAACTCTGAGTGCCCACTGGGATGGGAAGGTACCTGCAAAGTATGGGAAAAAAGAGGAGGTTGGAATGGAAAGAAACTAAGCAGGTTAAGAAAATGAAGCCCATTAATGCATTCAGAGGTTGTTTTCTGCTTGCCAAACTCCTCCAGTTGGGAAATGTTAACTAAAACCCCTCTGGGCTGTGATCCCACAAGGATCCCAAGGAATAAGAGGCCAAGGAGCTCTGATGTGACACTAGGCAGAATCAAGGTGTCAAAACCATCCTTGGAGGGATTAGATCTAAGCACTCATTTAAACCTTTGGTTTGAGGACTCCCCTGGCCCCTTCCCTGCAGAGCTGGTGGGTGTTTAGTGCCATCTGTGCTACCCTGGTGTGGTTGGTCCATGCTCTCCCTGCCCTGTGCCAGCAGCTCTGAGCTCTGGAAGGTTCCAGGTCGTGGCTGATGCCTTTTCCTCCCTTTCTCTCAACTCTCTGCTGCCTGTGTGCAAGTGATCCTGAGTGTCCTGTTGGTGTGTTCTGGATGGTTTATACATTGCTGTGTTTTCTCTTCCCTTCTCTCTCTGTTTCCTCCTCTCTCTCTCTCTCTCTCTCTCTCCTTGGTGCTGCCCTCTGAAGCTACTCCAACCCCAGGTACTGTACCCCGGAGGTAACAGGCATGGGGGCAAGGTGCTTTCTGGGCTGCCAATTAAGCATGCACTTCATTAACCCTTTCAATGGCAACAGGAAGGCTCAGCAGTCCAATTTGGCCCTAGGTAATTATTTAGGGAAAAGCAAAGCCCCCCACCCCACCCCCCAAGGCAGGAGAGCCAAGGACAAGCTCCACAGGGAGGATGCAACGATCAAAATCTCTTTGCACAAGGCTTAAAGCCTCCCAGATGCCTAATGATAGCCAAAGCCACCAAGCACTGCAGTGGCCACAGACTGTACAAGCCCAAATGAGACTCAAGTTGCCCATTAAAGAGGTTTTTTTACCCTGTTAAAGAGGGTTTTTTGTTCTATTAAGGAGGGGTGTTTTTTCCCCCTATTAAAGTGGGTTTTAATCCCAGCTCTGCACAAAGCCTTTGCTCTTTTAAGCCTCAACATCCCCACCCTGCAAAATACAGACTGTTTCCAGTCAGCCCTGGCTCAGTGGTGCCTATCCAGCACCTGTGCTCTTCCCTGTGGGATTTAAGCTGGATTTTCCCCCCACCCAAGAGCCTGTGCTGCTGCTTCTGGAGCAGCTGCACCCTTAGCCACACAGGGATGTGTTGCAGGGTATGAGCAGCACAAGCCACAAACCTCCTGGTGGCTTTGCCAGGGCTTTGGTACAGGAGAATCCTTTGTTTTCAGGTGCCATTGAAAGGGTTAAGGACGATGTCTGTGCCACAGCTGTGCATGTCTGCATGGAGGCTACTGCTGGCTTTGCCCTCGTTGCTCTTCCTACAGCACAGAAACCTTTTCTTGGAGTGGGAGCAGCTCTTCTCCTGCTCCCATGGAAAACCAAAGCCCCAGTGTCAGCCTGCAAAGCCCAAAGCAGAACTCCTGGTTGCCCAGAGGAGGATTCCCACCTCTTACAAGCACTGCAGACACCACTTTCCCACACACAAACACACTTTGAGGTGTATTGCAGCCCATTCCAGGCTCAGAAGGGGATGAGTGGCAGAGCTCAGGGGGTGCAGCCAGCCAGAACATCCCCCAAATGCTGTGGAAAAGCTTTTGGTGTGTGTGGAGTAGCAGCACTGGTTTCTCTGCACCAAAGGCAGAAAAGGTGCTGCTTTGCCTTTGCTGGACACAGCCCTGGGGCTGTTCTAGGATGAACAACTTCCTAGGGAAGACTCTTCCCAGGTGATACAAGTGCAGGACCTGCTCTCTGCACCTGTAGGTTTTCCTTTGCTGCCCCAGAGATGTTTCTCCTCCTTTGATTTTGTTGCAGTGACATCTCCACTTAATATGGTTTTGCATTTCTTTGCCTTCCTGAGTAGATGCAAATCTTTTCCCTAATGTGTTTTTCCCTCCCTAAAAGCAACAAAAAGCCAAAGGGGGTAAAAAGTTGTTCTGGTTGGGTGGTGTGAGCCTGAGACTGGACATCCATCACCTTTTGGCTTAGAGGATCTCTATCCTCCAGGTCCTGCAGGGCTGTGCTGCTGCTCCTCCTCTACAGCAGGAGAACAGCTCCTGCTTCAACCAGGGTTTAGCTCATCCTAAGAATCTGGATTTTCTTTGTGGCTCAAGATCATCTAAAGTCCTTTTCTGCTTGCAGTGGCTATTGCTGAACTCTGAGAACATGACACTATCTCTTTATCCTTCAGCATGTTTCATTTCCTCCTGCATTTCTTAGAGCCCTGGAAGTCAGATGAGTTACTATTTAAGGGCTAATTCTCCAAGAACTGAGCCCAGCCAGGCATTTGTCACCTTCTCCTAGGTGCAATGGGAAGGAGGAAGGAAGGGGCAGAGCTGAAAGGAGCCTGAGAGGCAATAAGTGAAGGAGTAGATCACTAAGTGCTGCCCCAGCCACACTCTGAGCCTCCTCCCTGAGCCTTCAGCA